CCAACCAACCAAACTCCTCCAGCTCCCCCCAAAACCAAACCAACCAAACACACACACACACACACACACACACACCATTCACCACATAAAATCTCTATTCTTTTCAATACCTTGACAAACATGCATTATGATTTAAAACTTTCCCCACCATGGCAAAGATATAAATCTTCTGTAAATGGCAAAGATAGAATAGTCAGAGAAGACTGCAGCTTAGAGGATAGGGGTAGGGCTCAGTGGTACAGCACTTGCCTAGAATGAGCAATGACCTGGGTTTGATCCCCAGCACTAGAAAAAATGACTTAAAAAAGTTGGGGTCTAGATGTCTACTCTCTGGCAAGAACTCTGCCCATACTTTCCTTCTAGGGAAGAAGAAAGAAAGGGATGGGTGATAGATTTTTCCAGTTAATTTTGGTCCCTGATTGCAGAGAGAACATGTGTCCCTTTTTCTGCATAATGACTGGGAAAATGCAGGATCCCCTGATTCTCCTGTGCTCTGCTATGGCTAAAGCATTGAGTAGAACTGATCTGGGGTCTTGTGATGGTTAACCTTGATTGTCATGTCAGCTTGACTGGATTGAGAGATACCTGGGAGATAAGCAAAGCACTTCTCTGGGTGTGATTGTGAGGGCAGTTCCAGAATTCATTAGGGCTTTGACCTAATCAATGATTTACTCTATCAATCGATTAAAAATGGAATAGACTATTGGGAGGTGGTGGAACTGTGGAAGGTGGGACCTGGTTGGAGGAAGTGGGTCTCTGGAGGCTCTATCTTGTCCTGGCCCCTTCCTGTTACTACTCTGTTCTGCTTCTTGTCTGCCATGATGTGAGCTGCTAGCTATACCCTCCCTGCTCTGATGGACTGAAACATCAGAAATAATTCCTACCTTTTAAGTTGTTTTCTCAGGTATTTGAGTACAACCCTGACAGACTAACTAATACAGGTATCCAGGAAAAATTTATTGGGTGAGTCTCATAGGGTTCCCAAGAAGTAGAAGATAAGAAACATAATTTAAGGCAGGAAGGATTTATTCTGGGTCACAGTTCCAGAGGTTTCAGACCATCGTAGCAGGGAGAGTATGGAAGACTTCTGGAACTCAACTGTTTCTCTGAAGTCAAGAAAAGTCATAGTCACCCCTAGAGTTTTATCAAGGACCTTAGTGGCACTTAGCTGTGAGGGTGCTTGGAGGCTTTCCTATTGAGATGGGGACACATGACAGTACAGACTCTATGAAGACGCCAAGTACACAGATGATAGTTCTAGGATTTGACTTAGCTCTCTGTATTCTGTGTGGCTGTGTTTAAATGTTTCAGAATGTAATTACTCTTCAGTAGGGAAGTCAACCAGAAATTCTGCACTGGCAAAATAAAAAGCAATATTTCTTATGTCCCTGAATTTTTAGAGTATGCTTCCATTTGTCATGGTATTATTATTATTATTATATTATCGAGACACCATGCTCTTCACCTTGAACTTTCCCAGCTCTTGCCTGCCCAATTTTAAAGCAAGTCTCACAAGTCTCTTTATTTATGTTGTACCCATTACTTAGCCAGCTTTTAAGATAGTGATTAAACTACATGGTTGACTTCTTTAACCTATTCAGGACAACAAAGGTTGCACTGGTTAGTGTCTTGGGATCCCGAGGTCACTTTCTGTTTTGGTGCTTGGTTGGTACTTTTACCTCACTTCTTGTCATTTAGTGAGGAGCCAGTGGAGAAAAGCCAGAGGGGGAGGAAAGCTCAGGAGGGAAGATTCCAGGTCTTCTTTTGTGCAACTTTTTTCTACTGAAAGCACTTTTTGGCCCTCTTCTCTGATCAAACCTCAGAGCATTCTGTATTTTCTTTCAGCTCGTGGGTGGGTCACCTCCATGGAGTACTGAGAAGATACACATATGGGGAGCAAAGGGAGATATGGCCAGGATATCATGGCTTGGAATGAGATCCCAGAAGACCTCAAGGCCAAGCAGATGTGTCAGACAGGATCCTGCAGGTTTGTGGCGTGGGGAGGCATTGAGGATTTTAAGCCTAGGAGAGACTTGTTAAAATGGTGTTGTGAAGACAAGTCTTGTTTTTCTGACATTGAGACAGCTAGGAAACTAAAACCAAACAGACAAACAAAAAAAAAAAAAAACCCCTAGATTTTTGTCTTCTCTTTTTAGGAAAAAGAAACCAACACTATGGTATAAGATGGTGTGGACCAGTGGGCAGACAGGGGTTAACAGTAGTCAAATTCTGACCCTCAAAGCATGACATAAGTTTTGTTCAGTCTTCCCAGCCTCCTGTGTCCTCATATCTGCAGGGCTTTCATTGGTGGTGCTGTTACCCTGTGAGAATGGTAACATCCAAATCCAGTGTGTCCTTAAAATCCCTCTATAGAGTGCCTTCTCCCAGTACAAAGACAGGGCACTCCTCCAAGCCACAGGCTCCCATTGCAATATTTATCTGTTCCAGTTTTTGAGGCTCCTAATACTGCCTCACCTTGAGTGAGAGTTAATGGCTCAGTCTTATCACTCCTTCCAGACTGTGAACTTTTTGAGGGCTGGAAAATACTTTATCTCAGACTCACAGTGGATAATCAAAATATATTGGCTAAGTGATCATATGTGTGAACCACTGGGACTTCAAATCTGGAGAGCAAAGAAAGATCATTGCCTGCTGGTGGCAATTCCAGGTGGAAGTGTAACTTATTGTATGTGCCCTTTGAAGAGAGGAAACTCAGGGAGGTAAGAAAGGGAATTTTTAATTCTGGTGACAGTCTGGGATCCACAGGGAGAAAATAATTCATCCAGGGCCATCTATACATCTGACAAGGAATTAGAGAATAAAGTGCCCATCTCTTCAGCATTCCAAATTAGGAACAGGGACCACACATTCTGATGGGAGGGAAGACATTCCTGAACTTCCATTCTGGCCTCACAAATTCTTGGCTGTGTGACTTTAGGCATGTCACCCATCCACGTTGAGCTTCAGTGGCATAGGCATTGGATCCAGAGAACTTGGATTTGAATTTTGACTCACAAAGTGCAAAATGCTGTATCTTTGAGCAAGTTACTTGTGCCTTGATTTTTTCAACTGTGAAATAAGTATAATAATGGTACTTGGCTTTAGGGTTATTGTATGAATTTTTTTTATAGTACTGGGGTTTGCTAGGCAGGTACTCTAACACTTGAGCCACTCCCTTTGCTCTATTTTTAAATTTTATTTTATTTAGTTATTTCTCAGGTAGGGTCTCCATTTTTTTTGGCTGGGCTGGCTGTAGACCATAATCTTTCTACTTATGGCCTCCCTTAAAACTGGGACCACAGGCATATGCCATCATACCCAGTTTATTGGTTGAGATGGTGATCTTGCTACTCCCCCTCCCCACAGGGTGGCCCGGAATTGTGATCCTTCTGAGTGACTGGGATTACAGTGTGAGCCACCACACTCCACTATGAAATATTTCAGTACTTATGAAAGTGCTTAAAAATCATCTGGGCCACGTGAATATATGGTTTATTATTATTATGAAGGAGATTATTATTTTACCCTTTTGGGGTTGGTGTGTTGTGTGTGTGTATCTCTATAATCCTAATGGATTTAGTTCAATGCTTGAACTAAACTAGTTCAGTGCTAGCAGGCACAGAAGAGAGGTTAGTTAACAAATATTGAGTATATTTCCCTATTCTGTTGTTTTAGAAGCAGAATGACTATGGAAGGGAAGCAAAAGAAATACCAAAAAGAAGAGAGATTGACGAGTTAGAAAAGAGTGGTAAGTTGGTGAATAGAGATGAAAAAAAGATGCCAAGGAGAGAGCCAAGAGGACAGGAAGAGGACAGACAGAGCCATCAGGTTTGGTGTGGAGGAAGTCAGGAGCTGCACTCTCTGACTCAGTTCTGTTCTCTCCTCTACTATTTTGAAGAGTTTACAAACCAATTCCACTGTTCTCAGGCTCATCTCTGTAGTGCTGGCCCCCACAGATCCCTCTGTTTGCCCTGGGAGATGGTCCTCATGGCTGTGGCAGCTTCGGGTAGCCTCAGAGGCTGGGAGCTGTAGGTCTTGGATGTGGCTCCCCTTGGTCCTGGCTCTCCAGGATGATGTGTTGTGTGTGTGTGTGTGTGTGTGTGTGATGATACTGGGGCTTGATTTAGGGTTTCACAGTTGCTAGGCTTGCTAGGCAGGCGCTCTACCACTTGAGCCACTCTACCAGCCCTGGAGACCAGGAATGAACTCTAACCATCTGGTCTCAATTGGAGCCTTTTCTTTGGTTCCCAACCATTGCCAGCTTTTCTGCCTTAGGGATGCCATGCTGGTCACTCAGCTGTGCCTTGATGGTCACCCCAACCCAGACACTCCACAGAGACCAAGAGCCTCATCTCCTCCTTAGATATATCACTGGAGTTGTCCAAATTCCCTTTTCAATCAGGGCTGCCCTAGATTTGGCAGACAAAGCCAGCTCAGTCTCCCCTCTCTAATTTCTGGGAGATGTGAGGCAGTGGCTTCAGAGGAGGTATATGTAAGGATGCAGAGAAAAGCAATTCGGCCACATTTTAATTTCCCACACAGGTACTACATTAACATTTGCAAAAGTTTCCAGCTGACCCTGGGGCTGTGCATACAGCCTAGTTCTCAGGCTGTCAGCTTGAAGCTGGTGTGGCTGCCAATGCTGGGGCTTGATTTAGGGTTTCACAGTTGCTAGGCTTGCTAGGCAGGCGCTCTACCACTTGAGCCACTCTACCAGCCCTGGAGACCAGGAATGAACTCTAACCATCTGGTCTCAATTGGAGCCTTTTCTTTGGTTCCCAACCATTGCCAGCTTTTCTGCCTTAGGGATGCCATGCTGGTCACTCAGCTGTGCCTTGATGGTCACCCCAACCCAGACACTCCACAGAGACCAAGAGCCTCATCTCC